GTCGTCCCCCATACACGGAGTAGAGGAAGTCGTCCCCCATACACGGAGTAGAGGAAGTCGTCCCCATACACGGAGTAGTGGAAGTCGTCCCCATACACGGAGTAGAGGAAGTCGTCCCCCATACACGGAGTAGAGGAAGTCGTCCCCCATACACGGAGTAGAGGAAGTCGTCCCCCATACACGGAGTAGAGGAAGTCGTCCCCCATACACGGAGTAGAGGAAGTCGTCCCCCATACACGGAGTAAAGGAAGTCGTCCCCCATACACGGAGTAGAGGAAGTCGTCCCCCATACACGGAGTAGAGGAAGTCGTCCCCCATACACGGAGTAGAGGAAGTCGTCCCCCATACACGGAGTAGAGGAAGTCGTCCCCCATACACGGAGTAGAGGAAGTCGTCCCCCATACACGGAGTAGAGGAAGTCGTCCCCCATACACGGAGTAGAGGAAGTCGTCCCCCATACACGGAGTAGAGGAAGTCGTCCCCCATACACGGAGTAGAGGAAGTCGTCCCCCATACACGGAGTAGAGGAAGTCGTCCCCCATACACGGAGTAGCGGAAGTCGTCCCCCATACACGGAGTAGAGGAAGTCGTCCCCCATACACGGAGTAGAGGAAGTCGTCCCCCATACACGGAGTAGAGGAAGTCGTCCCCCATACACGGAGTAGAGGAAGTCGTCCCCCATACACGGAGTAGTGGAAGTCGTCCCCCATACACGAAGTAGTGGAAGTCGTCCCCCATACACGGAGTAGAGGAAGTCGTCCCCCATACACGGAGTAGAGGAAGTCGTCCCCCATACACGGAGTAGTGGAAGTCGTCCCCCATACACGGAGTAGAGGAAGTCGTCCCCCATACACGGAGTAGAGGAAGTCGTCCCCCATACACGGAGTAGAGGAAGTCGTCCCCCATACACGGAGTAGTGGAAGTCGTCCCCCATACACGGAGTAGTGGAAGTCGTCCCCCATACACGGAGTAGCGGAAGTCGTCCCCCATACACGAAATTTTTTTATTATTATTATTATTATTTTCTACCACAGACGTGGCCACACATTTACAATGCTAACCAGCATATATACATTTTCTTCTGTCCTCCATGGACAGGGTTAGAGATCAGTTAAACATATAGTTCAGGGGTTTATTGAACACTCAACCACAGAAGGTGATTCGGTGCTTTTAAAATGCTAAGCTAACCTACATACGTAAATACATAGATACACAGATTTACGTATGCCCTACATAAAGTGTTCGATGTGTCTTTTACATAGTGTTTTACATAGAATTACATTTCACCTTTGTAAATGCACATTAATGACACTATACACGAAGTAGCGGAAGTAGCCCTCCATACACGAAGTAGCGGAAGTAGCCCCCCATACACGAAGTAGCGGAAGTAGCCCTCCATACACGAAGTAGCGGAAGTAGCCCCCCCATACACGAAGTAGCGGAAGTAGCCCCCCCATACACGAAGTAGCGGAAGTAGCCCTCCATACACGAAGTAGCGGAAGTAGCCCCCCCATACACGAAGTAGCGGAAGTAGCCCCCCATACACGAAGTAGCGGAAGTAGCCCCCCCATACACGAAGTAGCGGAAGTAGCCCCCCATACACGAAGTAGCGGAAGTAGCCCTCCATACACGAAGTAGCGGAAGTAGCCCCCCATACACGAAGTAGCGGAAGTAGCCCCCCATACACGAAGTAGCGGAAGTAGCCCTCCATACACGAAGTAGCGGAAGTAGCCCCCCCATACACGAAGTAGCGGAAGTAGCCCCCCATACACGAAGTAGCGGAAGTAGCCCCCCATACACGAAGTAGCGGAAGTAGCCCCCCATACACGAAGTAGCGGAAGTAGCCCTCCATACACGAAGTAGCGGAAGTAGCCCTCCATACACGAAGTAGCGGAAGTAGCCCCCCATACACGAAGTATATTATCACCGGTATAATCATTACAATCAATTTGTATTGTAGTTATTATGTTGAAATCAAATTCTGCTACAATGTCCCCTTTTAAATTACTTTTACTTTAATCTCTTAGTCAAGAATCCGCCCCAAACGCTATATATACCTGTTAGTGACTTTACAAGAATTCTCAAACCCAGATCATATGTACTCTCAAAACCCAATGTACCTTCTTACATATAAATAAATAAATAAATAAATAAATACAGTAGAAATTGAAGACCCAACAAAGTTTGGAACGAAATACACACTGACTGAAAGTTGAAAAATGAGACTCAGGAGCTAAAGCTCAACCTCCGAACAAGCACAGTCACGTAGACACGAACGAGACGTTTGGATGCGTTTCCTTACACCTGATACCTTTGTGTACCTGGCAGTAAATAGGTATACCTGAGAGTTAGGCAACTGTTGTGGGTGGTATCTTGGGGGGCTGGTCAGTCGCTGGCCTAGGGGGGGGGGGGAACAGGCTTCCTGTCCCGGACAATCGGAATCATTATTAATCCGTAACGCGGAACAGAGACGGGCAGGAAATGCTGATAATCACGTCACGTACCTCAGTTGTTGAGCAGTTAGGTAATCCACGTGGAGAGTTGTGGAGTTACTACACAACACACTAATGCTCTATTTGAGTGAGAGCGGACGACTGTGTGGGGGAGAGGCAAGGTAAGTGAGAGGAGAGAGAGAGGAGGGAAGAGAAGGGAACAGAGACGCAGCTAGACAGAGGGAGCAGGTAAGTAGTGTTGCCGCGCTAAGATAGAGCGTCCGTGCTGGGAGAGAGGTCTGGACTGGGCTGTGTCACGGGAGTGAATGAGGCCGCTGGTGAGAGTAAGGTCGCCTGGTGGCCTGTCTCGGGGTATCGAACCAGCGCTCTGGTTTGGAGATGCGACTTTCATATTCATAAACAGACAATCGACTTGAGAATGGTCCAGGACGCACCGAAACATCGTCGTCCCTTCACCTTCTAGTGTGTGGTCTGGTCAACATTCTTAAACACGTGCGCAGAAAAGTGATGTAAGCCAGCGCAGTGACAATTAAACTAGAATATCCTCTAAAACATTTTTTCTATAGTTGTTAAAGGGGACTCGATGAGGGAGCTGGCTCGTAATTTACCTGAGGGCCACTAACACTCTAGTGGCCTCGACGAGGACGGCAAGCCGGCGGCTTGTCAAAGGTCCCTCCATTTGTCCTGAGGATTTTTCCAGCTGGATTATATAATTTAAAAGATTTGTCATTTACGGCTCCTACGAGTAGGGGGATTTCATGGGTTTATAACCCTGTGGGTGAACAAGCTTATTCTCAGTCCTTATTCTCTTATTCTCAGTCCTTATTCTCTTATTCTCAGTCCTTGTTCTCTTATTCTCAGTCCTTATTCTCTTATTCTCAGTCCTTATTCTCTTATTCTCAGTCATTATTCTCTTATTCTCAGTCCTTATTCTCTTATTCTCAGTCCTTATTCTCTTATTCTCAGTCCTTATTCTCTTATTCTCAGTCCTTATTCTCTTATTCTCAGTCCTTATTCTCTTATTCTCAGTCCTTGTTCTCTTATTCTCAGTCCTTATTCTCTTATTCTCAGTCCTTATTCTCTTATTCTCAGTCCTTATTCTCTTATTCTCAGTCCTTATTCTCTTATTCTCAGTCCTTATTCTCTTATTCTCAGTCCTTATTCTCTTATTCTCAGTCCTTATTCTCTTATTCTCAGTCCTTATTCTCTTATTCTCAGTCCTTATTCTCTTATTCTCAGTCCTTATTCTCTTATTCTCAGTCCTTATTCTCTTATTCTCAGTCCTTATTCTCTTATTCTCAGTCCTTATTCTCTTATTCTCAGTCCTTATTCTCTTATTCTCAGTCCTTATTCTCTTATTCTCAGTCCTTATTCTCTTATTCTCAGTCCTTATTCTCTTATTCTCAGTCCTACATTGTTGCTTGTTGAGCTTGAGACCGTTGCTCCTTGTTTGTGTTACATCTGACGTTTTGAAGAAATTGTCTGGATCAACATCCTCCAAATGCACGCGACGAGTCACAATAACGTGGCTAAAGTAAGTTGACCGGACCACACACTAAAAGGTGAAGGGACGACGACGTTTCGGTCCGTCCTGGACCATTCTCAAGTCGATTGTCTTGAGAATGGTCCAGAACGGACCGAAACGTCGTCGTCCCTTCACCTTTTAGTGTGTGGTCTGGTTAACATCCTCCAAATTGTTCAGTATTTTAAATATTTCGATGAAATCCACCCTCTCATGCCTGGTTTGCAGTGTTGTGGCCCTGTGGCCCTCAACTGTTCCTGATACGAGAGTTGACTTAGCTCTGGAATGACTTTTGTTGCCCGGTGTTGCACTTTCTCCAGAGCAGCTACGTCTTTCTGAAGATGAGGTCTCCATGCCTGGATACAATAATCAAGGTGGGAGCGCACCAGAGGGGAAAGGCAAGGTAAGGGAGGCGAATGAATCTGAATGACTACCTTCTTTCCCTTAAAAATCAAATGTACGATTAATCAAGCGTACATTTGACTTTAAGGAAAAGAAGGTAGTTTTCTAAGGGTTCAAAACCCTTAATTCTAAGGGTTTTGTTATCTTTTTTTTTTTTTTTTACTGCCGCTCCTACCTTTGCAACTCTCAGTGAATGATGGATTCTGACTCCAAGGTCATTTTCTACAACAATCTGTTGCCAGGTAATGTTGTTAATTTGATAGTTATGACGTGGGTTGTTATGGCCCTCACATGCATGGTCTTGCATTTATCGACATTAAAAAGCATTTTCCAGTTTTCTGACCATTTGTGGAGTTCATGTAGATCTCTTTTAAAGGGCTCAATATTATTTTTATTTCCCACTTTACCACAAATCTTTGTGTCATCTACAAATTTGATAATGTGGTTTGTAATATTCTCATCTATGTCATTGATGTGTATGACAATAATGGTAGGCCCCAAAGTAGACCCCTGTGGCACCCATGTGGCACCCCTGTGGCACCTCTGTGGCACCCCTGTGGCACCCCTGTGGGTAAGGAAAGACTAGTTGAACAATTCGAACACAAACAGTAAAAAACATTAAAATTGTTTATAGTTGACTTTATTAACAAAAATCAATCAAAAATTACAATGAAATTGTTTATGACAACATTATACATTACACCGGGAAGTCAGTTTTTATGTATAGTGCAAATCATTTGTGAACAGTCTGTGTGTGAGCAGTGTGTCTGTGAGCAGTCTGTGTGTGAGCAGTGTGTCTGTGGGCAGTCTGTGTGTGAACAGTGTGTCTGTGAGCAGTCTGTGTGTGAGCAGTGTGTCTGTGGGCAGTCTGTGTGTGAACAGTGTGTCTGTGAGCAGTCTGTGTGTGAGCAGTGTGTCTGTGAGAAGGCAATCTGTGAGCAGTGTGTGTGTGTTGTCTTTGGTCCTTACAAGCGGTACAAAGAAGCTTCAAATATCCCCCATAACAATTAACTAACTTGAGTACAGGTCAGAAGATGGTCGAATCTATAGCACATAATTCACAAGAGAAATTATCATGCCACCCGAGGAACCGCCCACCGAAGCAGGTCACGGGATTGCCTCGATTGGTATATCCTGGTCGCCGTATGGATTGTAGATCCAAGGATAATAATCCGGCTGGGGGCGAGTGCAGGAGCCCATCCTGATCATCGTCTCAGTGGTCGGCAAGTTATCATCCTGGAAGAAGTCGAAGATGATGGGATCCAAGCAGTTCGAGTCCGGGTCGTACCCCGTGCAAGAGAGCGCGTCCGAGGTACCGGCCTCGCTCAGAGGCACCGGGTTCCTCACCCAGGCCAGCATGCGGTCCAGAGACACTACGTACACGTCGTCCTTCTCAGACAGCCACTGCAGGAACCTGGTGGGATACCGGCAGGGTGAAGAAGGAGGACCAGTGGGCATGAGAGGATGAACCAGGACCCGGGTTCATGACCATATGACCATAAGGAACAATAATATAAAGGAAGCCTCATGTCCAGGGAACAATGAAGGGATCAGGACAGGTGGATGGAAACTGATTGCCTGGATCAGTCATGGGAAAATCTGGAAGAACTTTACAGTGTCCGGATAAATGAAGACTGACTTCATACACACATTGGGTTCAAATGTTGAGTCCTAACTACATCAGTCGTTTGAAAAATCGGAGGCGAGCACAGGAGTTTAGCCCCCAAACACACACTCTCCTGATTAAGCCGCTACTCACCTGGTATAGCCGTCCTTCCTGGCTTCTGTGTTGTCGATCTGATTCTCGTAGAACCAGGAGTGGTGGACGTAGAGTCCAAAAGGAGCCTTATTGGTGTAGTAGTTAAGGTTGAAGTTCCTCCTCAGGAAATTTTCGACCGCGTCGGCGCTCGTCAGGAGCTCGTCGTCAACACTGCCAGAGACGGAGATGAGTTATGGGGAGAAGAGGAGAAGGGGAGGGAATTATCACGAGAAAGCGTCACTAGACGAGACCACGACTATATATCACTTGGAAGGGATCAGGATAAGGATTTGGGATGCGACGGGGAGAAAGGAATGGTGCCCAACCACTTGGACGGTCGGGGATTGAACGCCGACCTGCATGAAGCGAGACCCTCGCTCGTGGTTGGGCAAAGAGTAGGGAAGGTGGTGAACGGTAGTGAAAATGGTTTCAGCGAGGAAGGTAGTGTGTGTGCAATAAAGAGGGGTCGTTTCTTCAATAAAGGGGACACACAGCACCACTCCTGTGCCAGGTAAGCTACGGGCTCACCATAGCCCGTGCTACTTGGAACTTGTTCTGAGTAGCTGAATCTATAACAACAACATTCAATAAAGACAGAGTGTAGTGTAGATGGTTTCAGTGGTGATGGCCGTGTGTAGTGTAGATGTGGCCTCCTTCACCCGTCTAATATATGATAAAAACATGACTGGAATAGATCAAGAAAAGCTTGGATTAGATCTAAAATTGGTTGATAATAATCATATTGAGAAAACATCAAATGATTTTACAGAGGTCGGCAATTTAATAAGAAATATAAGGTGAAAATAAAACATGAGTATGAGAGGCGATGTTAAACAAATTCAAGTGGACTTTAAAGGCCATAAAATTAGGAAAGCCTAGGAAATTACAATAGGCCTGGTAGACGACCGGGCCGCGGGGACGTTAAGCCCCGGAAGCACCTCAAGGTAGGTTCAGTTTCATAAAAAATTGTAAGAGGATTTGAAAAAAATCCTTTCATAGAAAATATTCGTTTTCATAGAAAACGTTACAATTCATGAAAATAAAGCAGAGTAGTCCTCGATTAGATTAGATTAGGGAAATTTTGTACATCATTTTTGGGACGTTGTAACAACTCAAGAAGACTAGCTGAACTGAGGTGATCGTCCGTCATGTAAGATTTATAATAATTAATATTGTTATAATGTTATACTAATCATTTTTGGGACACGGCGACCAGACGGAGTCGAAGTGCCGTCGCACGAGTGACCAGCCAGCCTCCCCTCGCCCGTGTGGTAGAGAGGAGGATCCTGGCAAGGCAGATTAAAACCCTCAACCCCTGCAACTGGCAAGGCGGGGAAAGGGACAAATTCGAGGCTTGACAGGAATTCAAAGTAGGGTTTACCTGCGACAGGTGTCGAGCATGGCACAGCCTTCCCCAGTGTTGTCTTTTAGGTCCACCATGGGCAAGACCCAGGTCCCGTTGAACCGCTCGGTGGGGCAACGACCCACTTGGCAGTCCTGTAGAAGACAAGAGGAATGAGAGAGTGTTTGATCCTGTGTGCGTTCACAGGTCATTTCGTACATAAGATGGTTCGCCAACAGATTTTATTGTTGTTGAATCAAATCCTATTTAACCAAACCTATTGTAACCTAACTTAATCCAGCCTATCCTAGCTTAATCCAGTGTTGTGGGAACCGACCTGTGAGATTTATATTTATTTAATTTATATGAATTTATATTTACGTTAATTTATATGCTTCGATAGCAATTTGTATAATGATAAGTGGACTGTATTTCTGCAATAATCTCTTAATCTCACAAATCGATCCTCTACACATTAGGGGGGGGTTATTAAATTAATATATATGCAGCCAATCAAACTACAGTAACTACATACATTGAAAAGGTTCCTTATCTTATAGTACAGCAGGTTAGTCCACCAGGTATAACTAGGGTGTAGACACCAAATTATCCTCTTTGAGGTAGTTTCCATCACCCAGTAACTGGTGCACAAATCTTCCTCGTCTTGACCTGTCAAAAGTGCGCTAGCTGTGAAGCCAGAATCCTATATATGACAAGTATTTCAGAGAAAACTGTGCATGGAACATGAAGACCTGGCTTAATTACCTTTAGTTTGAGGCTTCCACGTGCTCTAACCGGATCACCCTATATAATGACATTAATGGCCATAAATGAAAGATACATGGGTTTCGGAAAGAACACTTAACTTGAATTGTAGACATCGTGTTGGAGATGGTACCTTTGGTTTCCATAACACTACGTCCAAGTAAAATTAACAGGAGCCGAATTTGCTCCCGTGTGAGCCTCTGGTCTAGTATAAACAATGGCTGTTTAACACTCCATACTATTGACGTTACTGGCCGACATTGTCCAGATATGATAGGAGCCGTTTGCTCCACACGTCTCGGAGGTGACACAACAATGGCTGCCCTCCTTCCTCCCTCTGACGCCTGGCCTACTTTGTCCAGATTTCAGAAAGTGATAGAAGGGTCACATTTACTCTACTTTAATATTGATAATTAAGTTAATTTATATAAGATGTTTTTATGATGGTAAAGTCCAAAGACTAATGTATTTAAGAAGAATTCCCAGCAGAATAGCTGGTGAATTATAATGGTATGTGGTGATGATATCCCGTTTTCTTTAAACGGTAATTCCACTACAAGTTACGTTTTCTATGGGTAACTTGTTTATACAATACAGCTATTATCTGTATGATTATTAAATGGTGTCGGATTTTCCGACAAGTGTACCATAACTTACTTCATCATATATTCCAACATAATATAACTCAATCACACCTATCCAAATTTAATGTAACACAATCTAACCTATCCTAACTTAATCCAAAATAACATTACCAAATCCAACCTATCCTACCTTAATCCAACATAAAATTATCCATTCTCTCCTAACTTGACCCAACTAAATTTAGCATAATCCAATCTTGTTTTTTTTCTCTCTCTATTAAATAATATACAATATAAAGGTCATATATACATCAATTTACAAGGGAAATACTAAATTACCTATAGCTTACATAATTCTCAATAAACCAATGTTTCATATCATCACATAGCATGAGCCTTAAACCCCAAATGTTATACCTGATCCTGCCTTGTAAGAACTTTAATATTTTGTCTACTGAGTAACCCATCTGTCTGCCTTTTCACACACAAAAAATGTAATCAGAAAGCAGCATAATTACGGTACTCTTAATTTTTTCGCATTTTATGTCAATATGAAACATTAACAACCTCATTCAATCTACTCTAATGCTTGGTCCACATAAAGGTTTTTGTGTCAGACGTGTGTTTGAGTGTTTGACGATCGGTAGGCTAGCTGCTTAAATTATGGGATGACTCCTATCTTCCTGGGCGGAACTTTCTCCAGTGAGGGAAGAAAGATAATATAACTCGCTTTGTGAGGGCCAGGTCACCATACAGGGATGTTGTGATCAAGGTAAGGGCATGCAAAGGCATTCGGACACCTAAATGGTCCCAGTATTAAAAGGTGCTTTAAATTAACATATATATTTTTTAGCCAATATTTAGTACATATATGTGCAGTATTAGGCTTAGGAAAGCTTAGCTTTACTTGTTGCCTTCTTTCTTGCGCCCTCTGTGTAATTAATAGTACCACTCGCGAGTGTAACAGTTCGTTTGACCAGTATTTGCTGTAAGTGCTATCCTTTATGTATGATAGGCTGTGTGTTCTACGAAGCTTCTGAATCAACACATGACTTGTGTGTCCCTACTAGAGGGACGTGATGATATAGCGTTGAAGATATCAGCTCGACTCTACATCAAGCATTGAGTGAGACCAAAATTAGATGAGCTAGTGAGGAATTGGACCACCTTGAGCACGAGGATAATGTACCATTTTAACTTAGACGAGGGAGGGAGGGATAGGATATCTTTGGGCGCGTGCGTAATGTATAACATGTTAACTAAGAAGAGGAGGATATGACCACCTTGAGCGAAGGGATATTAATATATCATTATTAAATGATGAACTATTAAATGGATCATTGTGAATCAAATTTTGATGGATCATTATGAATCAATTATGATGGATCATTATGAATCAATTATGATGGATCATTATTAAATGATGGATCATTATTAAATGATGGATCATTATTAAATGATGGATCATTATTAAATGATGGATCATTATTAAATGATGGATCCTTATTAAATGATGGATCATTATTAAATGATGGATCATTATTAAATGATGGATCATTATTAAATGACGGATTACTAAATGATGATTATTAAATAATGGATTATTAAATGATGGACTAGTGATAGCAACAGGTAAATCTGAATGACCCATGCGCTTACACTCTGGGTAACCCTCTCCCCACCCCCTCTCTCATCTAGATCTGAGTAAACCTCACTCCTTCGCTCACCTGGACCTGAGTAAACCATACCCATGACTCACCTGGATGCTGGGAAAGTCTAGTGTGTAGGGCCAGATGGCGCCCTCAGGGCGGTCGCCGTACCAGTTAGTATACTTGAGAGTGGGCCACGAACAGTCGTACAGAAGGTTGAGGTCCCTTACGGCAGAGAACATCTCGTCTCCACCTACTTCCAGGAAGGGGGCGCGCCACCCCTGAAGACAGGATTTGTAAAGTGGAAAAGCTGAGAAAATAATCAAAAAGGGAAAATGAAATTCTCAAAAAAGATGGCGCCAAGCCGGGAAGACTTCGGAGCAGCGAAGTAAAAGTGGGAGTTTAATTAGAGTGAAACAAATTATACTTTTCTGGCTATTGATGGTGATTGCAATGATGCTACTGTTATATTTTGTTAGTACTGCAGTTGCTACTGGTAATGATGCTGCTAGTGAGATTGCAACATCATTTGATG